AGGTCACTGTGTCCTCTGAAGATCTACATGAGTTACAGAAGAGAAATGGACCCTGACCTGGAGAGAAAGACAGTGGAAGTATCCCATTGAAACTCCCTTGGATCTCAATAAAGAAGAGAATCTGGGTGTCTGGAAACAAAGTTGGCTTTGAGACTTGAAGGTTATCACAGAGCAGTGGAGAAGGTTTGCAGGATGTTATAGCAAGAGTAATTCATATGAAGCCAAATGAAAGTTTTGTGAGCTGCAGTGAAGTTTTGCTCTGTGGAATTGGGCTATCTATCCTTATTAGACAAACCTGCTAATTTAGATTCACACTTTTCTTCATTATGACCAGTATCTTGAAACTTAAATGGGAGAAAATACTGAAATTTCTTCCAAGGCAGGGGAGATTGAAGGAATTGAGTAGACCTTTTTTTTTTTTTTTTAATCCCAAAGAAAACATACCAGTGGATGACATGAAAAGTCATCCATCTGTTGTCATACAGATGCAAATCAAATCTGCTCCATAATAACAAGTCACTTTGTACTTACTGGGGTGGATACTAACAAAAATAAAAACAAAAAGTAAAAATTTGCAAGGCCTTGGAGAAAACAAAACACTTATGCACTATTGTTGGGTAAATCAAATGGTGGCACCACTGTGGAAACTGTGAAATCTCTGTGTGCCCCAAAGAGTTTAAATCAAGATCTCAAAGATTTACATGATTCTCCATACTTAGTGCAGCAGTGGCACAATAGCCATGGCACAGAGAAGACTTGTGTCCATCAACAAATGAATGCATGAAGAAAACCCTGACCTTCGATCTAACTTTGTCCCTCACCTCCTCCTGAAAGACCACTACCTTAATCCTGGGCTAACTCAGAGGAGAAGGTTAAGGTTACAGACATGGTGAGTGACAGCTTTCTGGAGAGACAGACACCAGTAATGAAACACTAGTTAACAGCAAGGTAAGGCATTGGCTAAAGAGATGTGGGAATAGATTCCATCTATTTTAGAAAAATAAAACATATGTAGACATCAAGTTATTTAAAAGTTAAAATAGTCAAGTAAACATGTCTGGGGTCCATGGAGATCTGGTCAGGTCTTCACCACTTCACACAAGGCTGACGACTGGTTGCAGCAAATCAAACAGAAGACAATTGGCAAATCCAAGGGGCTCATGGAGAGTGTTTGTAAAAACAGCATGAAATTCCAATAAGGATAAAGGTGTGCACTAGCAATTCCTCTCTTTCCAAGAGTTGTTTGTTGAAAAATGACGAAGAATATGATCAAATCAAGGCACAGCACATTCTTAAACAGGCAGTCTGAGAAAAAAGTGATGACATACAGAAATGGTTTCATAAGATCAGGCCAAAAGAAGAGAATAGAAGAACAGCTGGGGTTGAAAAAATTTAAGGAATGTTGTGTGAGTCAAATAGAAAACTTTCAATCAGGGGAATCAACAGAGAATATTTGACTGTCACCCTTGGTGGTCATTGGAATAAAAGATAAAATGGGTAGTAGTGCTGAAGAATAAACTATTAGTCCATAGCAAAGCATGCAACAGGAAGTGATGTCCTTGCTGTTGGTAGAATTTGCCAACCACAAGAATTTTCTGAAGCCACAAGCCTGACTGGGGACAGGGATGGTAATGTCTTCTCACTAGCTCACTTCCTCTGCGTCTTCCTGTGTCTGATGATAGCAGCTTCATGTTGGAAGAGTGGCTGCTGGAGGACCTGCCCTCAGCACATTTGCCTTCTGCTTGCTGCTTTGCGTCGAAAACAGTGTGTCAGGAAAAACAGCTGCTAGGCCTCCCTCCTCCAGGAATTATGATATATGAGGTCAAATAAAGTAGTATATTTTGGTGATGTGAAGATAAACGTGAAAACTTCAGCCTTGCATCAAGTTATGCAAGCCAGGGCTAGAGCTTGGTCAGCAGAGAGTTGCACAATTGCTGACTCAGGAGAGCCTCACCTTTTTCCTTCCACTAAATAGGAAAAAAACAGCATCTAGTTTTCATTTTTAAACCAAAACGTGCTTCATGAACTAATCTTCCTTCTCCTCTTTTGTTTCAGAACTTCATGTGGGGTATAATCTGAAAACCACCAGTAGGAAATAGAGAGGCTTCACGTCCTTAAATCACTAAATTATCTACTCTGCTCGTTTTGCGGTGAAAGTGGTGACGGGATGATTGCTATGATCATTGGCAAGTCATGATGTGATTTATAGATTAGGAAGATGATTTTGATATTAGGGTGGGAAGTAGGTTGGTAGAAACTATAGGAAGATGGAATGAGATAAATCAAGAAACTGCTGTCAAAATCTAGGGAGAACGAAGGGTCTATGTAAAAACACAGGATTATTCGGGTATTAAAGATTGGTCACTAGTAGGACATGATGGAAAGGGTAAAGTACAGAGAGGAAGGGAGTTAGAGTTAAAACAGTGTTTCTGATTTGGGTAGAGGTTCCCTGACTGAGACAGGGAAAACTGGAGAAAGTGACCACGTAAGAAGGAAAATATAACAAACCCATTTTGGAGCATGTTGATTTTGGAGATTCAATTTTAGACATGTTAGAGATGTCCAGCAGAAAGCAGGATATAGAGTTCTGAAAATAGATGAATGTGAGAGCTCAGTGCTGAATGCAATCGGTTAGATTGTGGATCACCCAGGCAGAAAAATCAGAAAAGAGGTCCAGAGGCTGTGTTTTGATTTTAACCAGTTTGACTTTGTAAATGACAGTTGATCAAGAAACTACAGATGAAGGCTTTTCATTTGTATATGTAAATCTTCATTTAAGAAAGAAATTATTACATGCAATCCACTTTTTAATGGACTAGTTTTCCCATCGTTGTTTGTGTCATTAGATGCTTCTTTGCTAGAGAAAGGAAGTGAGAGTTCCCTAGGGTCCCATGTCTGTACATGTGAAAATGCGAGGGGGCAGCCAAAATGCCATGTATTTATATGTGCACATTTACATATATTTTTATCAGTAGATACATAAGAAAAAATACCAAAAATGTGTTCGTAAGGGCTGAGGAACACTAGTTTTCACAGGATGAGGAAGGAAATGTTTGCTATGTGGGTATAACTACTTTTCTTTTAGTTCTGCTTCTAGACAGTATACTGTCAAAGCTACTCAAAGGATCCCCATGCACCAGTACAGCCTGCTTCTTCAGATAAAGGGGCTCCCAAAGTAAACAACTCTTAAATGATTCAGTTGTACACACTTGTATGGGTTATATGTGTGTGTGTCTGTGTGGACAAACATACACACATACTTAATACACATATGCACACACAGTATTTTAGCTGGCAGAAAGACAAAAATTTAAGAGTATGGCAGTTATTGTGGAACATTTAAGGAACAATATCAAAAGCCTAAAATACATGAATTATGGTAGCACAACAAATTTAAAATAAGTTAATGCATGTACAGGTACAGATTACCTGTAATGAAAGTGATCATTATGTATACTTGAAATGTACCAATAAACAATGAATTTTAAAAAGAAAAAAACAGAAATATATAGTTCTGTTCCCATTATAAAATGAATTTTCAATGTTTTGATTACTTTTGCATAATACGTTATACATACCAATTCTTGGTGAATTAAGAAACTTGGTATTGAAGATGATACTAAAGAAAATTATCTTTTCTTGCTCTTTATATTTGTATCTTATGTACCTAAATATTCTTCTTTATGCTTTTGTTTTTATAACAAGTATAGCGTTTCTGTCATTTTGTCCTAAACTCAGATAATTTATTGAATTTCACACTTGAAGTTGCCTAAAAGTTATTCAGAATGCCTCCAGAAATGGATTTTCCTAAAGCCAGCAAACTGAGTACTTGAAGAATGTAAGTTTTGTAGTAAGCCAATAAATAACACCAACTTTTGTTGCCTTTTGAGTTTGAGAACTAAAAAGTGAAGCTTAAAATTGGAACTTTTTGTCTGAATAGGTTTATGGGAGTGGAGTGGGGAGATGGCTATTGATCTGTGATCAGATAAACTGCCTCTTAAATCTCCATTCATCAGGACTGAATGGATTATAAAAGAGGCCCAACCTGTACACAGGCAGCTCTACCTTAGCACAGGAGGCACCAGAGCTCTGGCTTCCAGCAAACAAGCTGACCTGACTAAAACCTCCAGCGTCTGAGGCAAGCATACTCAGCTTTTTCTCCCAACCTTTAACTTCAAGTAAGTCTTTCTGTTTCAACAGGGAAGGGGAAAAGAGAGGAAAGAAAACTTGGTACTTCTTTTCTAGGGTAGTTTCTGTATGAAAACACAGGACACACAAAATACATTCCTACTTCCCCAATAATTTTAGCGTATGCAAAATCACTTGCATTGAGCCTGATGATGTAAATCAGAGAAATATTATGGAGAATCAGATCAATTTTATTGCCATAACAATGTTCATATTCAGTTTAATTTTCTTTCTTTTCATTGCTCTAGGGAAGCAATGTTCTGATTTAAGGAAATGAGAGGGAAGCAATGTTCTGATTTAAGGAAATGAGTGATTCTCATGTAGTCAAGAAAACTAGAGGTATTTTTAAGTGCCTATTTATAGTTTTCCACAGTATAGTCCCAGTATTTTAATGAACGTATTTAATCAATTTCTTTTTCATATGGTGAGATTTGAAGCACTTGTAGAATGTTCTGTTTTTAACCTCTGTGGCCTGCTTTATCATTTAGAAAGTCAGGACAAATAATCTTCATACATCTTTACAAATTCTTCATGGAAATTAGTTGACACTCTGATGATAATGTTTTGTTTTTGTCTGAAGAGGTGAAGGATGCAGTTGTGTTAAGAGAGAAAGCTTAGTAGTGTTTGGAGCCCAGAGAAAAAATAAGCCAAAAACAGTTTGATTAGGAAAATATTAACTTTAAATAATGATTAGAAGTTTCTAGTAAGAATCACCATACTTAAGGATATCTACACATGAGAAGCAGAATCGTATTTGCTTTGATTTTCAAACATATATTATATTGTAATTAAGTCAAATGTAGACACTGCATTGTACAAAGTGTTTAACAGTTTATTCTTTTTACTGATGTTACTGGATTCTACATGGTCACTATTACACACTTGAACCTCTAGTTGAAACCTTTCCTTAAAAAAGAAAATTCCATGAAAAAAAAACCCTTATTTTTATGATCGAGTTGCACAATTAATATATGAATTTATAATGCTAAAAGGTCATATTTGTATTTATCAGTGCATTAACCTTATTAAAATTTTAAAGTAAATTCAAAGTTTTCACAAGATGGCTGTAGCTTTTCTATAACTACAATTAATGCAGATATTTAGAATATTGGAGTGGTTGGTCATACATCTTCACATTTTATGAAGGTGGAGATAGTGTCTTTAGATCACCAATTTGCTTTCCAAAGTATCAATGCCCTTGATACTGAACACAGAGCGGGTGTGTAATACCACTTTCCTGCATTTCTCAGCGAGTTAAGAAACTGAAGATGCTCTCAGTCTCAGGGAAGGTCTTATTAATTTGCAATGGGTTTAATTACTAATCTTTTTAATGAAAACAGAAGTATAAAAGTAGTTTTCTTTCATGTTTGTATTATGCTCTAGTGATGCCACATTTTTAGGAAGTATTTTAAATTTTTCTAAAATGGAATAATTTGGTGTTAGCACATGAATGGTACCTTGTAGAGTTTTCTGTTATTTTAAATAACGAGGGTCATTTGAACCATGGGACAAATGAACTGTAGACCCACTTTTATGGGAAATATGGACATTGTCACCTGTAATTGATCTAGATTGGCAATGAGTACTATGAGAAAAATAACACAAAAGGCCACACCAGCTTCTGCAGCCTCTGTATTTAGGGAAGGATAAATGATTCTTTAATACAAACAGGAGATTTCCTACTTTTTAAGATAGGAAAAACTTTAGAAATATAATCATAATAACTGAAATAATTTTCAATTTAAGAAATTAGAAAGTGCTGCAAATTATGGTGCAAAATAGTGACCAATGATCCTCAAATCTCAGTTTATTTGCTTTTAAGCCATGCAATTGTATGAACTGACTTAATCCATCTATATGTTACTTACATTTCTAAAATGAGAATGATGATACCTATTTCATAAGAATTATTGTGAGGAGTAAGAAAACTTTACTAAGGAACCAGGACAATGCCTAGCACCTTTATATATTGGCACCCCATTTTGTTCCCACAGAAATGTAGGAAAATTTTGAAGGAAATTTGCTTATACTCTACGAAAGCATTTAAAGTGACATAATTCAACATAGTGGGATGTACCTGTGACCCAAATGCCTGGGAAGACTGAGGTAGAAGCCTGATCCTAAATTCAAGGCCAACTTGGACAACACAGGAAAATCCATTTTATATAGATAGATACAGGAGAGAAGGAGGGCAGGAGAGAGAGAAAGAAAGAGAGAGAGAAAGAGAGACAGACAGACAGACACAGGCAGAGACAGAGATAAAGACAGAGATAGAGAGAAAAGCACAAAACCAACACATATCTACTGGGCTGTGTTGTGAGCAGGTGCCGGGTTTAGATCATCTACAGACCTAGTTCTCTTACATCTTCCCAAGTTTGCCATGCTGGTGCAGGACACTTAAGGAGAGAGAAACAGCACCTGAGGTCTCTCGGGGAAGCGTTGACAAAGGGGAGAAACAGATTCTGTTGGACACCACTGTTTCACCTCTAGTGAGCAAGCTGTCTGTATCTGCTCTCTCCATTTCTTAGAGACAGGATTACTCAACACTTGTGTGGATGCTGTTTCCTTTACTAAAATGCTAACCATGTTAGAGACAGCTGTGTGGGACAGAATGGAAGTGCCTCAGTCCAGTGCAGAGGTGGAAGCCACCCATCACAGACTGCGAGAAGAAACACACATAGAAGAAACACACAATCCCCTCTCCTGGGAAAGAAACCCACTAAGTGAAGCGATTAACTGATTTGTGGCAACGATCCTCAGTGTGTGATCCACGGCAGCATTTGAGAGCGTGGTAGATGATAGAACTGTGGGGGACCGGCGGCAGCTGAAAAGATAAGAAGTATGAAACATAAATGACTTTTATTTTGAGAATGCGGGGAGAGACATCCCCGATCCCCTGGGGCATGGCATCTCCCCCAGGGTCTGTGATCTCTCCATGGAACACGTGGAGTGGAGGCATACATGTAGCTTAGGTTAGGGGTGGTGCCTGAGGGGCATTAGGGATGCACAGGCAGCCCATTGGTATTCTTTTGGCACCATAGGTAAATCCCTAGGGGTGGGGGAGATAGGAGCTCCTTGGTTCTGGCTGAGGCTTTTCCTGCTACAGTGTCTGGCCTGGACCAAAACTCTTTCAGTAGATTTTTTGGACAAAGGGATTAGGTCTTGGTCCAAATACTTCCCCAGATGATTAGCTTGTTTACAACCAATCTCCACACACTGGGCTCAGACTAGTTTCTAGCCCATCCCAACAGATAGTTATGTGATGAGTGGAGTTTCAGAATCAAAGATGAGGAGTATTTTCTCATATTTTTCCTTAGTCGACAATATTCACATAAGTAAGTATTAGTAACTAAAAATTGAGGGAGAGAGATTTTCTTTTCAGTATTTGAACACTGAAAACCTCATAGGACAATTTCATCTTCCCAGAGTGGGCATCTTACACAGCTAGGGAGAGGGTTTATGGAGGAAAGAGAGAACTAAGCCATCTCCTAAAGTGGTTCTGTGTCAGGATGTAGGACCTGCACTACCCCAGGATTAAATCCTGTGGTCTCAAGACCTAAAATGCAGTTCAGTGACCATGGCTGTGGCCTACTTGAAATTTACTGGGAGCAAATTTTAAATGATCATCTCATAAAAAGAAAAATAGGTACCATGTGTAGTAATAGATACATTAATTAACTTTATGGCTGAAACCATCTCACAATTTATGTGTATATCATGACAGCTTGCTGTGTACCATTTCATACACAATTTTGAACATCAATTATATATAAATAAAATGGATTTTTTTATTTAAAAGATAAGTAGGTTTAAAGCCAGAGTTGTTGAAGCTGATGTGAGGTGTGATTTCTTGTCTTTTCATTTCCCACCAGAAGATATCTGCCTTGTATAATTGATGGGTAGGCTTAATGACTTGGAAATTTCTATTTTTTTAACTGTTGGTTTAGCTGTTACTATTTTACCAATTCCCAGATCCATTCTCGTGCCATTAATGATGCCAGAGAGCAGCTGCATTAAAGCTAAGGTTGTCTCCTGACTTTATCAGCATTTGAGGTCACCATCTATAAGTAGTTCAAAGGGATTCTCCTCCCTCCACGGTCTGATGTTTCCCCACCTGTTATAAGCTTAAGGCAGTCCCAACTATGTTGCTAATATAACTCCTCTGCATTTTCCCCTATGGGTTATTTCTTTTCCTTTTCAAATGAATAGTCGCATTATTTGTCTATTATTCATTGAATTTGAACTCTCTAAACTCTCTTGGATTACATCTGCTTTTCTTATTTGTGTATGATTTTTATCTAATGATTTAACCAATGAGTTGCTTCCTTCTTGTGAGGAACCAACGCTGGACATAACCTGTTGAGTAGCATCAGCTCTTTCTCCGTCTGTCTAATGTATTTCAGCCAATGGTAGATTCTGGAGTGAATTTATGAAGACCTCCAGGTTTGACTTTTTATGGGGAAAAGGGTCAAATAAACAAAAGGAGTCAGGAACACTAAGGACACCTAAAAAATAGATAAGTACTTTCATATGGCATCAAATATGAAACCAAGGTACTGATCTAGTGTTCATGATTTTGGCATCAATTATGACATTCAGATAGCCAAAATCAAAGATATGGCTATGACCACAGCTACTGTGAAGACCTCAAAAAGAATGACTGACCTTTAGCGAATTCCTTGTGGCATCAGTGGAAGGTAACTGGGCCTGATATTTCATTAAGAGAATTTCCATTCTAATAAGATTCTATGAGTCTATTTGTATATTTTGTATGTGATGTTCATAATTTCTTCTTAATATTACATATAACTTAGTATTAAAGGATTCATTATACTAGCAAATAATTTTATTTGCCTTTGTATTTCTCTAAGCCTTCCAGACTTTCACTATTTGATTGCAGATTGCAGATTTTAACCAGTTTGTAAATGCAATCAATCAAAACTGCCATGGTTAGAGAAAAAACGAGTTCACTGTTCTTTTCTAACCCAGACACACTTGTGCTTTATAACATTTTGAACTAGCAAAAAAATGAGTTAGGTTTCATTCAGAACAGTGTGGCCTCTAACTAGGGTTAGGGACAAACTATGAATGCCTCTGTCAAAAGGCAGACATGTAAGATAGGGAGTGAAACTTACAAGGTCCAAAGGGAAAGTCAGAGTAGGCAATAAATCTGCAAGCAATGATCTTGAACTGCTGTTCCTTTGCCCATGCAGAAGCTGAAGATTGTGATGCAGTCACCAACCTGGAAGAGACAGGGCTTCCAACTGTAACACATGTGTGCTCTTTTGGAAGAGAGATAATCATCCAATCCCCTGATTGACTGATAAAATCTCCATATATTTTTTTCCCTGTGTTTTTCTCCATTCTGTTCACTCATTCTGGGTTTTGCAGAGCTCGCTTCCTTGTGATTTGTCTTCCTGACCCTAAAGCCCATGTACATTGCTGCCTTGGGTACCTCTCCACCGCTGGTTCCCAATGGAAGTGCTTCCCAAGATCCAGCCTGGGAGTGGGAGTGCAGCGTGTTTGAATTCACTAAGCTCTGGATTTGAGAGACTTGTTGAGGATCAGCCTTTGCCACCAAATGGGGTTTCTTGCCACCAACTTTAATCCGGAAGTTGTAAACACTCCTGAAACCCATCTCCCCATTCCACTTGGCCTCATATCCTAAAACCAAAGGACCTGCAAAGGAACTTAAAGAGTCTACGAAGCCTCTACTTTCTGAGATGATAGTCCCTGGAAGCTCAGACACATAACATCTGAAAAAGTGTCCCAGCTCTCTACTCCCCTCCTGTACCATGTCACTTCTGCCCACATCCCAGGCCCTGTCATCCATGGTGGCAGCCTCAGGGACAGTCCACATGCCAATGATTTCCAGAGCTCTCTGGCTAAGCCCTGGAGACTGCTCACTCTAGTCAGTCTTATATTACAATTCCTTCCACAGCATTTCACCAAGCTGAAGTTAGTTATCTGAATGTAAATGACTCCCAACCCTGTTCCTCACTATCCTGCTCTTACATCTGTCCAAAATCAGTCTGTCCTGCCCCTATTTTTCCCATCATGAAATAGCAGCAGCATCCACCCTGGCTCAGATCAGCACTGTGACACAAGTTCTTTGCTGTCTTTTTCTCCTCACCACTTACAGATCAGCAAATTCTGGCCATTGGACTTCTTAAGACAGTTGTAAGTATGGACAGTATGCATCTGTAATGCAAAAAAATACTGCAAAATCATAAAATTGACACCGGTGAACTAATCACTCAAATGAAGACATAAAAGTCATTGTGACTTTTTTGTTCATTTCACTTAGTGCTTATCTATATAGCATGCTAATGTTCCTTTTCTTCTCTGGAGCTAATTACTATTCTAAATTTTGTATTAATCAGTTTCTTGTTCTTCATCATATCTATGCCCTAACTATATACATAAATCTGCCTGTCTTTGAACTCTATAAATACTGTATTCTAATGCTGTTATTTTCTACTGCTGAGACACAATACTTGATGCCCACAAATTAAAGAGGAAAGTTTTATTTTGACACAATTTGTAAAGGTTCCAGTCAATGGTTGGATGAGTCCAATCCAGGACAACACAGTAACAGGCCTGGCAGAGAAGAAGTAGCTGAGAGACTGTGAGGGGGAATGTGAAGACAGGAGCAGGGAAGAGTAAACCCTTCTGGGTGAGGCCCCAGTGACCTGCCTTGTCCACCCAGATCCCATCTCCTAACTGTAAGTCAGCTGTGAGCTCATCAGTGGACTAATCCATTGATGATGCCCACACCCCCGTGATCTGGTCACCGCCAGAAAGCTCCAGCTGTGAGCACACTAGGTTTGTGGGGCCCTCCAGATGTAAGCTATAACACATATGTACTGTCGTTAACAGCATGCTTTGTTTTACACAATGCTATGATGCAATATTTATCAGTATTGCTACAGATAGTTAACCTAAAATTTATGTATTAAAACATTTCATGAGTATGCAGTCATTTATTGTTAAATTCTTTACCATTGGTTATGGGTTTTAGTTTTCTTTTATTATTACAAAGCCTCTATGCCATTCAGTCAATCCTCTTGACCAAGAGTCTTATTAACATCTAAAAGTGGATTTTCTAGATTGTGACACATACATATTTTAAACTTTGCTACTTAATGCCAAGGGAATTTGCAGTGTACTAAACTCCATCTTACGGAGTTTAAGAGTTTCTATTGCTTCAAATCTTGGCCAACACTTTTAAGACATTTATTTTTGACATACTTTAAGACATTTATTTTTGTCATTATGATGAGTATAAAATAGTATTTTGTTGCAGTTTAATTTTAATATTTCAGAAATTTAATGTAAGTGAATATAATTTTTATTTATTTTTGGCCATCTGTTTTCTCTTCTGTGAAATATATGTGCTTGTATTTTTGTCCATTTTCCTATTAGTTTGTTTAACATTTCTTAGTGACTTTCAGAAGTTCTTTATAAGTATGTATTGATATTTTTCAGCAATAAATGTGCAGATTTTATTCTAGTAGTTTTGGACCTTTTTTGCACGTTTTGTAATTTTTTAATTAATAAAGAAGGTTTTTCTTTGTTTTCTTTAAAGTAACCCCTACATTTTAATGCAAATTAGGTGAATTTAAATAGTTTCCTATCTTATTTAAGAAAGCTTTACTCCCTCCAGAAGTCATAAGCCAAACATGTCCTATAATTTCTTGTAAAATTGTTAAAAAGTCTTTGGCATTTAAGATTTTAACACAGCTGAAATTATTGTATATGATGCGATACAGACAACAGATTTTTAAATAATTGGAAATAATTTTTAAATAATTGGAAAGTACTTGTCACCGGTTGCATGATTTATATCATGTTGCTATGTATGGATGAGTTTAGCTCTTCACTCACTTCTATTGATGTATTTTAATTCTTTTCTTAATATCATAAGTTTACCACAATAATTTACCATAAATGAGGACATCCAGTGGAGTGATCCCTCCCACGCTGCTCAAACTTATAAATTCCTTGGCTATATTTTCTCCTTCCTTTCCCATCTAAATTTAAGAAACACTTTTCATTTCCTACAAAAAAAATTCTGTTGAGGTTGTGATTAAATTTTCATTGAAGACATAAATCTATTTGTACAGTGTTGACAAATTTGCCATATTGAATCTCCATGTTTTTGAGTTTAGGATGCTGTATTTTCATACGGCAACATATCAAACTCTTTAATTCCAATAATCGCTCTTTTGAAATTCCACATAGATAATCATGTCATCTGGTAACTATGATAATTTGGTTTTGTCTCCTAAAACTTTTATTCCTTTTGCTTTACAGAGAGTTCCAGGACACCTAGTATAAGGTAAAGAAGCAGGTATAGTTTACTAGTACTTGGAAATTTTTCTTTGAGCAACTCAATTTTTGACTTTTTAATATACTATTTTTTAATTTACTATTTGATTTCTTAGCTGTATAGTTCCATATTCCTATTCTTTTACTTAATTTTAGTTTTTTACACTTTTTTGCCAACTTACATTAGATGATTGATTTTCAAATTTTATTCTAAGATAGATATTAAAAGCTATAGACTCCTTTTTGTGTAATTTCTTCCCTGATGTTATCACACCTTGTAAGATTTTAAATATGCTTTACTATTAGTTAGATCTAAGTATTTTCTAATATCCATTATAAAATTTTCTTGGAACTATGAATGTTTCAAATACATGATATAAAAATTTTTATATACTGTTGGTTTTGTTTATTTCTAAATGTAGTGAATTTTAGCACTTTAGTGGTTATGTAATTTGAGGTTGTGAAACCTTGAGTCTGTGTGCTATTGTTTCTATGGAATTTGCCAGGACTTTGTTTATACTATAAATATGTTTGGTGTGTGCCTGAACAGAACATATAAACTATAGAGGTGAACACATGGTTTGCTAAATGTTCTTCACAGACATTTTATTAAAGGGAATCTAATTTTTTGTTATTAAAATATTTTATGGCCTTACCTATGATTTTACATACTTGTTCTAAAAATAAAGAGATCTACTTTGACATCAAATATTTACTTGATGTATTCAAAGATATACTAGTTAGTATTTAAAAGTTTTGATTATGGTACCTTACTCATGAATTAAAGCATTTACTATATCGTTAGCTTCTCCATTTCCAACAATAGAAGTTTTGCTTTAAGGTCTATTTGCCATCTCTCAATACTGCACAACATTGTTTTCTACACAACCCTGTCTCTCAAACAAGCTGTGAAAATTGATTTCACAGGGTCCACGAGGGTTGTACCAAATGGCTGTGGAGAGCAAGGCTTGGTCTGCTGTTTCCTACCTGCACCTGTGGTTAACACCTAAGCTCTGGAGTGTCCTGCATCTGTTGGTCCATCCACACCAGCAGCAAACTTCACAGCAGAACTCCTCGTCTCTGTGGGCTCATTCCATAACCCACTGCTGGCCCAAAACATTTTCATTTCCCCTTTTGACTTGAAAACTAAAGAATCTTCAGATAATGGTAGAAATATGCAGATATGCATATACATTCCCACACAGTCAGTTGTTTAGATATGCAGAGGAAGTTTCAGTCACTAACTGCATTCAGTCCTTCCAGATATTCTTACCTCTTTCCCTCTTCCAGCCATTCCTCCTATAATGTGCATATCCTTTTTGAGGCATAGAGCTGTTCTCAGCATAAGTATTGAATTTCTTAATGTGGCTCAAATACTTCTGATGACTTAAATTGCTTATCTCCTCATAGGCTTCTCTCACATGAGCCCTTGCCATCCAAAATGTTTGCTTCGGCTACAAATGCTGCTACTGACTTTGGGAGGAATGTTTGCATATGCCTTATAAACATTATCTCAGATTGTTCTTGCAAAATCTTACTTTAAGTTTTGCTATGCTCATTCTACTGGAGAGAAACTGGGAAGTAGATGATTAATCAAAGTCATACAACTATTACATTGAATGAAGGATTTCAACCTATATTTGACCTACTTTAAAGACTTTAAAATTACCAGCCTTCATGCCATTTTTTCCTCATTTCTAAGTTGTTCTTCATTTTCCCAAAATGCATCGTATCCTTTACTCTCTGACCTAACTTTTTCATCATTTTGGGCTTGACTTAGGCCATTTTTGGGTGCCTTTCTCTCTCCTTCATTGTATGTTTGATGATGGTGATGACTCTGAGTTTTCTTTCAGGCTGTGGCCTCTGTGAAAACAGAGAAAATCAACTTTTCTTGGTGGAATTTTCTATCCC